AGATATTTTAATTTAAAATTTAAAAAAAACTCACTAAAAACAAATTGCTTGGTTTCTACTGGCACCCCCCCCAAATATTTTCTGTAATCACATCCTTTAACAGACGGTTAAAAAAAAACAATTCCAATTTAAAGGAGTTATATAGAAATTTGTATCTGTTAAAACTGCCTGAAAAGATCAGCTCAAATTGAAAATAAACGGGTAAAGAATTGTTAGCAATATTTTTGCAAGACTACTATATTTTAACAACAAATACGTATCTCAAAATAACGCACATTTTGTATAAACATATTATTGAATCTAATATGTATATACATTAGGTTTAAAATTGATTTGATTAATATTTATAAGCTTCCAAACTGAAGAAATATAGGGTAATATAAATTCTGAAAATTAAAAAAAAGAAACTGAAGCTCATATAGGAGTCTCGAAATGACACGCAAATGAATAATATAACACACAATAAATAAAATAACGCGCAAGTAAATAAATAATACGCAATAAATAAAATAATGCGCAAGTAAATAAATAACACGTATGTGAAATAAATAACGCGCAAGTAAATAAATAACATGCAAGTGAATAAATAATACGCAGGTAAATAAATAACACGCAAGTAAATAAAATAATGCACAAGTAAAATAACGTGCAAGTAAATAAATAACACATAAAACAACATACAAATGAACAAAATAATGCACAAGTGAATAAAATAACACACAAGTGAATAAAATATTAGCTGCCCAATATAATAGTATTGAAGTAGCATTTTGTCTCGAATCGAACATGGAGTCTAATTAATTGATCAAATGATTATTGTGTTATTGTGATTTATTGCTTGATAAGTAGAGTGTATTATGCAAATATTTGTAGCGAAGTGATGTGACTTTTGATTGTATTGTATAGTATTTTTGATTAGTAATCGTGGGAGTTTATTGGTATATTAATTGCGTAATTTTTTTGATCTGGTGATCGTTAGAATTAGTTATAGTAGCGACATAATTACATCATTAGGGTTTTTAGAGTAACGATGTAATTACGTAGTTTTTTGATTTGTAATCGTTAGGGCATACTTAAAGGGAATAGGTTTTTTTCCCAGACAAGATAATTTCTGTTTTTTTTGCTAACCTGACTTTGTCTGATTTTTTCGTGCAATTTTTACGTACACAAATTCTTTGCATTTTCATTTCTTTTTCAAACTCTTCTTACACATAGTTAGTTATCATTTGTCAAAAAAAAAAAAAATAAGAAATAATAAAAAACTTTCTTAATAGTAATAAAATATTTGTGCATTACCTAATTGTGGTATTAAGTATAAGCTACCAGTTGAGACCAACTTCTTATATACTAATTATAAACAGATTGTTACTTTAATCATAAACAAATTTTTTTGGCGATATTCGCTTTAATATTTTTTACGCAAAAGTAAAATTACTTGTCCAAGATCAATGTCGGCTATAAACAAGGAGCCAGAGTCTACTACGTTAAATGATTCGGTAACTCCAGACCTAACCCAAATAAGTTTGGAGTCGAACCTTAATCGATTGTCAGTTGAAGCATTAAAATTTGTCTGTTGTGGTATGGGCTTGTCAGAAACAGGCCAAAAACAGGAGATCGTGTCCAGGTTATTAAAAGAAAGTCATAACTGATTAGGCCCAGAGGAATTAGTTAAGGATGCAAGTATGACCAGAAAAGCAAAGAAAGCTTAGCTGCAGTTTGTGGGAAGCCAGGATAATATATTGTCAGAAGAATTAGAAGCTTTGTAGACTAGTGATAGGGCACAATGTCCAGTTCTGGAAGAAAATTCTCTAGATGCTTACAGCAAACAAGATGCAGTAGATCAGGACTTTTCACCAAGTTATGTGTGGGAAAGGAAGCCTCTTGGCTACAAAACAGATTTGAAACCACTATTTATAAATGATATTGAACAAAGAAATATTTAGACCAAGTGTGAGCTGACTAAGCAGTATAACTAGTGTGAATACAATAAGTGGTGTAGGGCAGAAGCGTAAATAGATAAGGCATTAGCCTCAGGTGATATGAGCTACATTCGTATAGCAAGGCAGATTGCTATGGAAAGGGCCTATATTGTAAGGGTGACTGATGAGAATAGTTGGGAGCTTGCTGCAAAAATGGTGAATGTGGATAGGTTGGATTTAATGACAGAGTTGTTCAAAAGTAAACATGAAAGTGTTAGGTTAGCAGTACAACAGTTTGCAAAACCCAAGAAACAGAAAATTTCCTACTACGCTCAGATAGATCAGCACTAGCTGCCAACACTAACCTTGCAAATGGGTGGAATCTCTATAGTGCAAATAGCTCAGATGCAGTCGTATATCCAACCAACAGGTTTTCAGCCTATAGCACAAATGGCTCAGGTGCAGTCGTATGCCCAATCAATGGGTTTTCAGCTACAGTACTTGGGTGTACAAAGTCTAGTTGGTAGCTTGGTGCTATTTTCTTTGCAAAGCCTGCAAACAAACCCACAGTTTGTGCAAGTAGGAGGGCAACAAGGTGTACCAGGAGTCATCTCATCACTGCTAACACAACTGCAATCTTTTCATCCAGCCCATAGTGGTCTAGAAGGTTCGATAGAAGCAAAGAATATAGAGGGAGTGAGGTAGTTTGCTAAGTATATAAGGGGCATTTTGCGAGTGAGTGCAGTTTTAAAAGTATATCAGACTGCCCTTTTGTGAAGATAGCACCTGACCGAAGAATAGTTAACTATACTCAGGAGTCTTTAAAGAAAGCATTAGTAGAATTAGAAGTTCACATAGTAGGAAGAATTTACAGCCAGGAGTGTATAAAATATTGGAAGAAGCAAATAAAGCCATCTCAATTGGTCATAGCGTGGTTGGAAAAGAGGATTTCTTTGTTCCCAAAAAGCCTTATGCGTTTGGTGAATAAGCTGGTCCCGAAACTTTATCATTTCACAGAGAAGGGAAGGTATTAGTTAGAGAACAAGTTAAGGAGGTTAGAAAGATCAGGTGCAATAGTAAAAGTATACGAGAGCAGGGTATGCTCACCAGACCTGTTAGAGGTAAGCCCTGTCTTTCTGGTTCCAAAACAGGGTCCCAAGACATTCTGTTTGGTGATCGACCTAAGGAGACTAAATTAAACATTACCGCAAAAGTCATTTCGTTTTGAAGGACTATTACAAATGATTGGTTGAGGTTGGTAGGTGATTTTATTCGACCTCAAGGATAGTTACCACCATGTGTTGATGGACGATAAAGCCCAGAGATTGTTAGGTTTTGTAGTGGGAACAAATTGGTACCAGTACAGGGTCCTGCCTTTTGGTTTGAGTCAAGCTCTGTGAATTTTTTCTAAGCTAATAAGGGCGTTGATTAGCAAGTAGCGTGCTTAGGTGATTTATTGTGAAAGCTATCTGGATAATATTTGGATAGTTTATCTAGTCAAGGAAGTGTTGTTAAAAATAAGAGAAGAGGTGGTAAAGTTAGATTTGGAAGGTTGTGGTTAGATTCGGGCTATAGAAAAAGGAAAGTAGGACCTAACACAAGAGTTATGCTTTTGCGGAATGATTGTGGATACAATAAAAGGAATTGTAGTGGCTCCAGAGGAAAAGATTATATCAACCACAGAAAAATTAGAGGCTCTGTTGAGGGCACCAATGGAAATGAGAGAGACCTGGCATTGGTGGCAGGCAAAATTATAAGTTTGTCAAGGGCTTTTTTCTCGAGTAAGGTGAAATGTATAGAGTTTTACAAGCTTATAGATACGTAAAACTATGGAGTATTAGAGTAGGACAACAAGGTCTAATTGTCAATCCAGTGATAAAGGATGTTTGTTAGCTAGTAAAAAATTTGCGAAAATAGAATTAACGCTCAGCCTGGAAGTTCTCAAAACAACCAGTTGGTGTGAAATTATTCAAGAGTGCCAAGCATCAGGAAATTGGCTGCAACCCCACAGATAAAATATAATAGCGCAGTTAGAGGCACTAGCAGTGCTACAGGTACTGCAGTCATTTGCAGATCTGCTGAAAGACTCGTGGATTATGTTGTTTATAGACAACAAGGTAGCACTAAAAATGGTATTGAAAGGGGGTCTGACTCAGTAGCAAAGGACATTACAAGGCAAATTTGAGAGGTTTGTGTAGCAGGCGATATTGGAATTTTTAGTACAAGGTAGATCCTAAGTAGATTAAACTCAGCAGACCTTCTAACAAGAGTAACAGATTTTGGAACTGGGTAGTAAGTTCAGAGATTATAGACCAGTTAGAGAAAATGTAGGAAAAATTTGATATTGACAGGTTTGTGAACCACTTAAATACAAGAACCGAATAGTTTAATAGCCTGTTTTTTTGCCTAGAAACAGAAGCAGTAGATTGCTTTACGCAGGATTGGGCCAGGTAAAAAACTATATATGCCCTCCATTCAGACAAATTTACAGGGTGTTGTGTCATGTGAGAGAATGCAGGGCATAGTTGGTCGTTATAATTCTGATATGGGTGTCAGCCTCATGGTGGCCATTGATTATGAACTCCCCAAGAAAAGAAATCGATTTACCGATACTGAACCAAATTATTCAGCCAGGTCTATCTGGAAATATGGAGCCTTGCAAAAACAACCAGTGGTGTTTAAGGGTGGTGTTGCTAGATTGGTCAAAGAATTGCTTAGTAGAATGAAGTATCTAATTGACAATTCATTTAGTATTCCATATAAAAAGCGTCTAGAAAGGGCCCAGAACGTCTTTGAGAGTTTGTCAGTTGGGCAGAGTTTATACCTTACTCATTTTCAGGAGAGTTGCTGGCAGCCTTTTTGGCATAGTTAGAGGTATCTAGTAGGTCGACAGAAGTTGTAATGTATCTGTTTGCTATGGCAAGGGAACACAAAGTAAGGAACCTCTGTGATCTGACAAAAGGAGGTGCAGTTCGATTAATTGTGAAAGAAATTAAAAGGTCTCAGGTTATAGTGAAGACTGAGACTAGGTAGCCAAGAGACCTGTTACCAGTAGCAGTAGTGAAGTGTTACATCAGGTATCCACTACCGAGGAACAGTATGGTAATATAGGCTCGTGATATAGCCTTGGTAGTCTTGGATTTGAGAGTAATATGAAGACCTAGTAAATTGTATAATTTGAGGCGATCAAACATTTTAGAAAAAGATAGTAAGTTGTAGATTAGAGTTGCAAAGTCGAAAACTGACCAGCTAGAGAAAGAAAAGTTTATTCTAGTAGAAAGAACAGCGAGTGAGATTTGTTCGGTTAAGTTCTTGAGTATATATTTAAGGTTAAGACCAGAAATGACTCCAGAAAGTCCACTGTTTTTGTCAAAAACTGGAAGAAAATTGTTCATAGTAGCAATATCCACAATAGTTAAAAGGTTTGCAGACAATGCAGGGCTGCAAAAGAGGTTTTCAGCGTACAGTTTAAGGATTGAAGGCACAACAGCAGCTATAAAAGGGAGCATGACAATGGAGCAGATTCAATCAATTTGTGAATGGTCATCAGGGCGGCTCAATTGTACATGAGAGTGGTTAGTACTACAGAATTAGGGGTCTCACGATTAATGGGTTTTTAGAAAAATAAAAAATAAAAAAAAAAAAAAGAGAAAATCCTAGGGTTTGGGTTCCATAGCTTAATGGATAAGCTCTCGTCCTCCCACAGACAAGGTCGACGGTTCGAGTTTGGCTGGAGGTAAATACTCTGTAACCTAAAAAGAAGCCAATAATCGTATACGAAGCCCTGTGAAAGTTCAAGTGAAGGTACATGTCTGGTTTAAAGAATTCTTAGAAGGAAATCAGTACAACAGAGCGCTGGTACTACTATAGTGAAAAATATGGAGAATGTCGTCGATATTTATGGAAAGGAGGGCCTTATCAAATATAGAATCACCTCTGGCGCAAGAAAATCCGGATAAGGTATAGCTGTGGGAACTACCTCCTTCGGTAGAATTTATCTTACAGATAAAGTAGTCCAAAGGTCAGACTAAGTACTTAACATTAAAGATCACGTGAGCAGAATAACATTGAAGATCAAAGAGTTTAAATAGGGGACCTACAAGCGAGTCTTAGGTATGGCAATGAGTAGGGAACCTACAGGCAAAACTCTTAAATAGACAATAACTAAAGTTGTATATGTGGCTTATTGTACCCTTATTAATATATTACTGTAAACCCTTTTGTAAAATACGGACTGCAAATACTTTAATAATAAAAGGAACACCTCGACCAATGAGGTCATTCTATAAACCGTAAAAAAAAAAAAAAAAAAAAAAAATACTATCAAGATTCAGAGTCGCAAGTAAAACCTGATTATGATACTCTGCAAAGACCTGAAACTTAATTTCATTGTATTGTATTTTATTGAAATTTATTGCTTTACAACCTTCTCAATGAGAGCCAAAATTAGCTATCCGATATGATAGTATCGGAGCAGCATTTTGTCTCAAATCGAACATGGAGTCTAATTAATTGATCAAATGATTATTATATTATCGTGATTTATTGCTTGATAAGTAGAGTGTATTATGCAAACATTTGTAGCAAAGTGACATAACTTTTGATTGTATTGTGTAGTATTTTCGATTAGTAATTGTGAGAGTTTATTAGTATATTAATTGCATAATTTTTTCGACTAGTGATTGTTAAAGTTAGTTATAGTAGCGACGTAATTACGTTGTTAGGGGGCTTCCAATTATTGTGTAATTATAACCCCCTAAAGTTGTCAATTGATCATTTCCAAGGGTCCCAGAGTCAGTCATTTGACAATTACAAAAATTAAAGTAATTAATAAATAATTATATAAATTTTGCATATTTTATAACCACTTGCATATTTTTATATACCCTTGCATAATTATGCAAGGGGTATATAAAAATATGCAAAAGTTATAAAATATGCAAAATTTATATAATTATTTATTAATTACTTTAATTTTTGTAATTGTCAAATGACTGACTCTGGGACCCTTGAAAATAGTCAATTGACAACTCTAGAGGGGTTATAATTATATAATAAGTGGAAGCCCTCTTAGGGTTTTTAGAGTAATGACATAATTACATAGTTTTTTGATTTGTAATCGTTAGAGTATACTTAAAGAGAATAGGTTTTTTCCCAGACAAGATAATTTCTGTTTTTTCTGCTAATCCAACTTTGTCTGGTTTTTTCGTCTCGCTTTCTCCCACCCCTCATAGAGTAGCCTAATGAATATTTGTGACATGTTAGTTGAAATCTGTAGTGTATTTGATAATTAGCTTGTTGGAACGGTAGTTACATGAAGTAATAAGGAGGTAGCTGTTGTTTAGTATATTCAAAAGGGTTTGGCCTGTCAGACGACAGTTGAACCTTAAGTTTAGTAGGTGGCCTGTCGGGATGACAGTCACTAAAATTATCATTTTGTTTAGTTTATATCCAGATTTGGCCTATTAGACAATAGTCAAATCTTAAGTTTTTAGTAAGTGGCCTGTTGGGACGACAGTCACTAAGATTTATTGGTTTTTTTTTTTTTTTTTTTTTTGTTCAATTTATATCAGGATTTGATCTGTTGAATGACAGTCAAATTTTAAGTTTTTTAATAGGTGGCCTGTCAGAATGACAGTCACAAAGATTTCATTGTTGTTTATTTATATCGGGTTTGGCCTGTAGGACGATAGTCAAATCTGAGTGTTAGTAGATAGTTACAAAATTGTGATAGTATTATACTTGGGTAGGTATTGTTAGTAATTAGAGTGTACGAATAAAAAAGAGAGCAGAACAAAACTTCGAAATGCGACAATCAAGAACTTAGCTTACAATCAATGAGCTTATAGCATATTTATCAATGCTTTTGAATTCTGCACTATAGTGAGACTACTTGCACGAAGAAGCAGAGGCAGAATACCTGAAACTTTATTTTATTGTATTGTATTTTATTGCAATTCATTGCTTTACAACCTTCTCAATAA